AGGGGAGCGCCCGGACGCCCAGGCTGTGCTGGCAGTGGCAAGGAGCAGTTCGGAGCCGGTGAGCAGGGCTGCAGGGTTGTCTTCCTGCCGCTGCTGTTCCTGCAGCTCAGGAGGAGGGGAAGTTCCTTCTGCTGCCTCACGTGGCAAGGGTGTAGGGGCAGCAGGAGGTCACGAATTCACTGGCCCTGTCGTGGTCCCTCCAAGCAAATCCACTCACTCATGGGCTTCTGTATCCTTCCTGCTCTGACGTGACCCAGGGCCTTTCTTGGAGGAGCAGGCACTACCACTTCATCTTGGGGCATGCTGTAGAGGCCACCAAGCTGGGCAGGCGCCTGGGAGGGACTGTGGGCAGGTGCCTCGGCACTCCCCCTTCTCCTGCCAGCGTCCACCGCTCTGACGCTGGGCTGGCCTGGGCCAGTTTCCAAGTACTGCTCAGGTGTGGGGAGCCTGGAGCTATTGCTGTTTGTGCGGAAGCTCCTGAGCAAATGCTAATGAATTACCCTGACATGGACTCGGAGCAGTCATCCCTGCTCCACTGCCCTGCGCTCTCCCCTTTTCTGGTGCACTGATGCTGCCGAACTCTGCCCCAGGTCCACCTGCAGACACAGCAGGAGGTGAAGATGCGGATGATGGGGATGGCGATGCGTGTGATCCGCACCGATGGCTTCCTGGCTCTCTACAATGGGCTCAGCGCCTCGCTGTGCCGGCAGGTGAGTGCCACCATGCCCTGACGGCCTCCAGTCCCCCGAGGCAGCACAGAGCTCCTGCCGCGCTGGCAGCCGGGCTGGAGCTGACAGGCTGCCCTGAGCCGCGGGGCAGAGGAGGCGGGCATCCAGCAGGGCACAGTGGCTCATTCTCCCTCTCCTCCAGATGACATATTCCTTGACTCGCTTTGCCATCTACGAGACTGCAAGGGACCGTTTGGGCCAGGGCAGTCAGGGGCCTCCCCCCTTCTACCAGAAAGTACTGCTGGGCGCAGTGGGAGGTGAGCGAGGAGGAGGGTCCCGCAGCCCAGGGCTCCCTCGGGCTGGAGGAGCCCCCTGACCCCAGCTCTTCTTTGGCCACAGGTTTCACTGGCTGGGTTGTGGG